AAATTATATGTAAATTTTCGTAATAGAATGAAAATTTAGGAAGGAAATTTTGGGAAATTAATGTTAAATTTTACCGAAAATTATGAGAAAATTTTCATAGGGAACAACATTTTCTAGAACTACCAATGTGAGATTCTGATTGCTCTTCAGAACCGCTCCAAGATCTGTTTCGAACAAATCGGTTACGATGCAGACGTGGGTGAAATCGTGGACTCCACCAAAAGTCATAATTGAATCTGCGGGAAAACTGTTATAATACTAATTTTAACTTCAACGTTGGAGTTTTACCACCCTAGTGATATGAAAAACATATTTCACGACTACTGCATATCACTGCGAATAAAATCGCGTTTTTCATGGAGTTTTACGACGCCACTCCGCGTAAAACGGGTAGTCGTGAAACTCCAGTGTTGGAGGAATATATTTTTGCTTTCCAAAGTTAATCATAGTATATAAAATTTTGAGTAGAAAAAAACAGAAACCACTGAGAATTTTCCTTGCAGAATTTCCATATTGTCAACAACACATATGCATATTTTCCCAAACTCCACTACTTATTCCCAGGATATTGTCGTGCTTCAAATGCCGAAGAACTCTGAAAAAACATCAAAGTGAACTGTCATCCATTTAACGTGAAGTGGTGTTATACTCTATGAGAATTGTGATAAGCATATTTTTCTGATACACTGGAGTTTCACGACTACCCGTTTTACGTGAAGTGGCGTCGTAATACTATGTGAAAAACGCGATTTTATTCGCGGTGATATGCAGTAGTCGTGAAATATATTTTTCACTAGTGTTTTTCATATCACTAGGGTGGTGAAACTCCAATTATTTTCCGCGAAGTGAATTGTGATCTATGTTTTTTCACTTCGGTGTTTTACATATAATCCGTGATGTAAGGCTGCGAGCTAACTAGCAGTAACTCCGAAATAAACGCCCGAGCCCTGGTGTACGTACGGAAACGAATTCACATGTATAGTATATTTACATTTATTGGAGTTCCACCACCACCCTAGTGATATGAAATACATATCTCACGACTACTGATGCATATCACCGCGAATAAAATCGCGTTTTACACCACCACCTCGCGTGAAACTCCTATATATACTGTATTTCAATCCGACCACCACCACGACCACGACGATCCTAAGCGAATTCTTACTTCAACTCTCTCAGTGTTCGCTTAGTAAAAGCAATATGGTTGAAAGCATTATCGATGACTTTGATAGCGACAGATTTCCCAGTCTCAAAATCATCAGCAGCAATAACCACGCCATACGCACCTAATAAAAAAAGAATCTATGACGGAATTTCACCAGCCATGATATGAAAAACACTAGTGGAAAAACATATTTCACATATCACTTCGCGAAGAAAACGCATATGAGCAGCGGTGACTAACGCGTGATGTGTTTTACGTGATACGGAAAGTCGCGAAGTAGTTGCCAATTCGCGACTATCACGTTTTTCGTATGGCGTGTGAAGCCATTTCGCGTAAAACGGGTGAAATTTTAATTTTTTTTAGAAAGAACTCATTTTTAATTTCTCATGTTCTTCGATCAGTTTCCCATGTAAATGTCATCACATTAGGAACATTTTCTCGCCCCCACTGTTTTCAAATTCTAGGGAGGAGAGCTATTTTTCAAAACTGGAAAATATTCACACAACAATAGAATTAACAGTGGAGTTTCACCGGTGATGTGAAAACGTATTTCACGACTACTGCATATCACCGCGAATAAAATCGCGAGTTTTACGCCACTTCACGTAAAACAGGTAGTCGGGAAACTCCAGTGTAGGGAAAAATATGAAAATTCTGGGAGCTAATTTTCGGTGGTTTCTGTACATATGTAAACAACAATAATGGAGTTCCACCAGCCGTGATATGAAAAACACTAGTGAAAAACATGTTTCACTATTCGCTGCATATCGCGTTTTTCACATGGTGTACTACGCGTAAAACACCGTTAAAACACTTCCTCCTCTTCTCACCTTGTCCCAAATGCTCCACCAATTTATATCTCTCGTCCACCCTATACGTCGTCGCTGATACTCCTTCATAATCATCATCATCATCATCATTCACTTCAAATTCATCTCCAGAATAGTGTCCACATGATATTGAGTTTTTCCGCGGAATGTTTATTATACTATCATATTTCTGTGGTACCCCCGCAGAACTCAAAAGCTCTTCTCGTCGTTCCTCTAGTAATCGTTTGGCGATGACGTGAGGCGCCAGGGATGATGAGGAGGATGAGGAGGAGCTTGTTGGGGTTGCCATGCTAGTGTTGGTGGAGTAGGAATATATGTAATCGATTTCCTCAACTGAGCTCAGGAGTTTCCTATACAGTGTTGGAGTAGGAATATATGTAATCGCTTTCCTCAGCAGCTGAGCTCAGGAGTTTCCTATACAGTGTTGGAGTGGGAATATATGTAATCGCTTTCCTCAGCACCTGAGCTCAGAGTTTCCTATACAGTGTTGGAGTAGGAATATATGTAATCGCTTTCCTCAGCACCTGAGCTCAGAGTTTCCTATACAGTGTTGGAGTAGGAATATATGTAATCGCTTTCCTCAGCACTGAGCTCAGGAGTTTCCTATACGTGTGGAGTAGGAATATATGTAATCGATT